CCTGGAGAAGGTGCTGGGGGCAGGCAGCTCTGAGAAGGGGCCAAGGTGACCGGAGCAAGGTGACCTCCCTCAGGGCGGCCTGGGGGCTGGCTGGTAGCCAGGGGTGACATGCCACCCTCGTCCCTGAACAGGAGGCAAAACCACCTCGTGTTGCCTTTACCTGCACCGCTGCGGGGAAGAACATTCACGGTTTGCCTCCTGTGTCCTTGGGAGTTAAAGCCCCCGAGTGTTCCCACCCCTCGTCTTTGAGCGTGGTGAGCGGTGCCGCAACCGGAGCTGGCGCTGCCTGGCTGAGGTCGGCTGTACCCTTGTCCTCGTGGTGCTTGTTAGTTGATGGAAATAATCATTAGGGTGATTAGTCACGAGGTCTGTGAGCATGTGAGAGGGCTGGAGGAGCTGGGTCTGCCCTCGTGCAAACACGTTGGCTCCCCTTGTTCCCCTGAGAGTGGGAGGAACCTACAGTCCTCCAAGCCCTCTCGGTGGGAGGGATGGAGAGGTTGGGAAGTGCCACCTTGGGGGATGCTCCCGCGACAATGCTCTGTATGTGTATGCCCGTGGGGTTCAGCCCCTGTCCTCGCCTTCTTCAGATGAAGCGTCCCTGAAGATGAACCACGTAGAGCACATCCCGCAGACCTTGGCCAGCCACAGCGGGAGCTAGCTCTGGGAGGCACAGCAAGACGAGCACGGGGCTGACATGCTCAAGTCTGACCCCAGGGACACCTTCTTCCTCAGTAAGTGGCTGGGACCAGGCCTTTGCACATCTCCATGGGGTTTTGGAAATGGCAGGCCCTGGCTGCCACAGGCACCCAGAGCATCCCTCCTACCTGCTGCCCATCTCTTGGGTAGAGGGCATCACCACTGGGGTCTGCAGGGGGGCAAGCTGGGATGCTTTGGGCCACAGACTACGAGGTGGGCTGGGCTACGGGGGTGGCAGGGCACGAGCTGGGGCTGAGCCGCGGCTGCTTCTCCCCAGCCCCTGCGATCGAGGCCTCGCGAGTGGAGAACGTGCTGGTGCCCTGCGCCTACAGCCCCACCTACGTGGTGAAGGACTTCCCCATCGCCCGCTACCAGGGCCTGCAATTCGTAAGTGTCTCCCCGCGACTGGGAGGGAGTCGTGCTCCCGTGGGACACACGGCGAGGCAGGGTGCTGTGCCCCCACCCCAGCGCAGGGATGTTTCCGCACGGTCAAAATCCAGGAGAAAATGTCCCTCGCTGGAGGACCAGGCTGCGCTTCCCCACCTTGACCCAAAGGGGCTTGGGTTAAAAGCCCCGTGGGGTGTTTGAGATGCTGGGGGTCACCTTGCTGTTGAGGTCCATGCCGGTGGCCTCGGATCCCCGGCTCCAAGCCCTGCCAGCCCCCGCTTCCCCAGAGCGAGCCCACTCTGCGCCGGGGTGACAGCAGTGTTGTCATCTCCCCAGGTCTACCTCTCGTTCGTGTACCCCAATGACTTCACACGCCTCACTCACATGGAGACGGAGAACAAGTGCTTCTACAGGGAGTCCCCTCTCTACCTGGAGAAGTAAGTGTTGGGGGACCAGTACTTGGGGGTGGCACGTGGAGGGAAGGAAGGGGCTGATGTCAGCAGGGCGCTGAGATGATGGGTCCTCAGCCATGTGTCCCCAAGCTCTGTCCCTCGTGGAGGGGCCACCTCCAGGCTGGCTTCTTCCCTATCTCTTGGGCACGTAGCAGCTGGAGACCTGGCAGTGCCCCTGGATTTGGGGAATCCCAGCTCCCCTGGGAGCCGGGCTGCGGCCGGGCGCCTGCGCTGCAGCCGGGGATGTTCCTCCCTGCACGGCTCGCGTGTGTGCCAGCACGTCCCTTCGCACACACCCCCCTCCCTTGTCTCCGGGACCTCATCTTTCCGCTCCGTCTCCCAGGTTTGGTTTCTATAAGTACATGAAGATGGATGAAGAGGAGGAGGATCCACGCCAGCACGCGTTTCTCTTCCTCGGCCCAGACAGTGAGTCACCGCTCCCCGCTGACAGCTTTTGGGGCATCCGTCAGCAGCGTGGCACCGTGCTCCTCCCCCGCGAGCCCGTCCGCTCGGAGAGGCGGCTCAGCGGGGTGGCTCCAGCGATGCCAGGGGCTCGAGGAGCGCAGGGCTGAGCAGCAGCTTGCCTCCGAGCAGTCCTGTGAGCTCCGTGGTCACGCAGCCCACTCGGCTCAGCCACAAAGCGCTGCGGGATGCGGGAAGTGGGGTGCTGGGGCTGGGATTCGCCCTCCCTGCTGCTTGAAGCCGTGTGCCCACGTCTCCGGGGTTGGCCTGGTCAGGGGGCAGCAGGAGACAGCTGGACCTGGCACAGGGTCTGGGGGTGCTCGTGGGGATGTTTGGAGCCTGCCTTGCTGTCTGTTTGCAGCCCAGCAAAGCCCTGGCAGGCTAGGTTTGCTCCCCGATGAAAGAAGAGTGGTGCCAAGGTTGGGAGGGGTTTCGGGGCAGAGCCTGGAGCTGCCAGCCTTGGTGGGCATCGGTCAGTGGCCGCCAGCTTGCGGTTTCCCGTGCTGAGCAACCGCTTGCAGGGCAAT